TTTGATTATTGTTGTTCCCTAAGGATTGCTGACATTCAGTGGCAACATTATGTTAGCAAAGAGGAGATTTGGCAACGTGTATTAGGCGATGTTGCGAATATCCTCCTGGCGGATTTTACATCATGGATTGTTTGTGGACTTTGAGACCGATTAGAAAAAGCGGAGGCGGTCAGTGTATGACATGGTGTCATGGTATGAAATAAAGCTAAGCGGGACTGGCATTCTCTACTCGTTTACAATTCCCTGGTTGAGGTACTAGGGATAGTGAGACATAGTGGCTTAAAACGTTATCAGACATGTCTCAGAATCGAAGACAGTGGCGGTCCTACGGTAACTTTCTTTTAATTTCTTCATTTAAGTGAGGGGAATTTTTAACTGAAGGAATACTTTTTGGTTGTATTTTTTTTAAGTGAACCGCTACTCCCATTATTAATCTTATTATTATTACTTTCATTCTCGTAAACTAATTTCTATTAACTTTTATTCTTTTTTCTATCTCTTGACAATCTCATTCTTATTGTGTCGTGTATAAACACTTTGGCGTCCCTTTATACCAATATTTATATGTTTAAATAACTAGTTACTGACTGTTGAACTGATTCGTGTAGGTAGGTGAAGACTAGTTAGTTTGGGCTTTGTCTAATTACTATAACCAGTGGTTGAAGAGATTGGGTAAAATGGCTCAGAATCAGTCAAAGTGAAGAAAATGCATTCATCACTCTTTGTCCTCCTACATAATTTTTAAAATTATTTTGTACTTTCTCACACCATAGCGTCTAATCTCTTCTACTTCTTACACTGATACTGTTACTAATTCTACTAGTCTAGCGTTTATCTTGATAATTCCATATCGTTGTGCTGAATGATATCAAGTATGGTAATTGGAACCGAAGAACATATGTGCCAGGTTTCTTATTACTGAGTGGCTGATTGAAGTGGAAATAATAACCAATATACTATAATGTTGTAAGTATATTTTAGCATTTAAAAATCTTTGGCTTCAAATATCTTAGTATGGAGGATTGTGAAATAAGTTCGATCTCTCTATAGAAATGTATACATAGAGCTATGTATTTCCAGACACTACTTAATGACTTGATGTGACATTAATGCTTTTAAGGAAGAAAGACGATAAAAAATGAACACTCGGCACTAAAATAGGGGTGATCTTAATAAGTAAGGAATTATCCATCATCAAAGTCTGTAGAGAACTATAAGGTGCGTGGGAACATTATGGTCAATCAATAGTAAACAGAAACTTCTCAGAAATATTTAGGAAACGAGTTATGTGTCACGATTTGATTAGGCAGTTGTCTCAATCGCCAATATATTTAACGTGTTGCTAGAAAGATCTAAGAGATTAACATAACATAAAACTCTTAACATACACTGGACTTCCTGTACATAACTAACCTTAGAGAATAAAGCTCGTACTGACATTTCACTCCTTATCTCTATTGTTCGAGTTGAAGTGTAGACGTAGTGGATAGGAAGTTGGGAGTAAATGTTTCAGTAGTAGACTTATCATTCACTACCTTATTAACTTATTTCTTATCTTTACTCATTACTCTGTATCTCTATTGTCTTAACATGCGCTTCGAAGGTATGTACGATCGGGTATTAGTAACCTTAGAATTTTTGCTATTTTTAAAGATTAGGTTTCACAGAACTAAAGTAGAACAATATGAACTGTTGAAAAGTATACTCATCTTTTGTTTAACAGACAAATTTCTCACCTATTCTAGAAGTGACTCAATAAAATGGTAAAATCTAATGGGATTTTCTAAATACATATCAAGATTTCTTTAGATATCAACCTATTAGGTTTTTTAAATTTTACAAGATAAGTAAAGTGATTAATCTATTCAGCAACTTCACTTTTTATCATTAAGTCCCAGATTCGGATCCTATTCATAATTAATTCGATTTTAGCAACGGGATATAGCATTACTTATACTTTCATCTAAAACATAGTTCAAAGTAAACTGTGTGTGTGTGTGTTTGGTATTTTCACATTGGTAGAATAACCATGTTTTGCTAATATTAAACACATTACATGGTTACAATAATTAAAATTATTCAGATAATCTGTTTGTTTGTTTGTTTTATTGAACTCATGAGAGATTCTATAATACATGTGTTTTTGTTATTCTCCATTTATATTCAGGTTAATCATGATAGTAGTAAGGTCATTTAATTTGTTAATTTGATAAAGTTAGTTTTTGAAGGACGAGTAAAATGGTGTATGATTAGTGAGTGGAATGAAACACAGTTTAATAGTATGAAATAGTAGCCTCATTGATAATAATAAATAAATGTAGCTTTATATCGTATGTTATATCCGAATGAGGAATAAATGAATGGTAACTGCTAGGGATTATTTATAAACTATAATTATTACGTCGGAGTGGCCGAGCGGTCTAAGGCACCAAACTCAAGAGTTTTTTCTGGGTGTTTTGGTCCACGATGTAGGAGTCGGTTTGAATACCACCTCCAACACACACTTTGCCCCTAAATGCCCTGGTACGGCCGAGGGTGGGGAGAGTCAGCTCTTCCTCTCCAAATGCACTCAAATGGCCACGAGTATACAGCCACTGACAAGGAAGCCCTAATCATCGCCTTCTCGCACCATGGGTTTTGTTTACGAAATTGAGAGAACGAAGAGCGAATGTCCCGCGCTTTAACCGGGCTGGTGGATATGGAGAATCCATCTAGGGGAGTTGGAAAACCCTGATTCCCAACCAATGGTGCATATGGGCTCCAGTATCCTGAGGGGAAAATGGTGTATGAACCTATTGTCGATCACTGATTACCATGGTACTGCATCTCCTAACGTTGCTCCACTGACTTGTGGATCAAACCTTTAGTTCGAAGGCTCCGGGTGTGTCCCCGTAAGTGAACCACCTGCTTCGGTCTGGACAGCCGGGCAGTATCACAGCCCACACACAAATTAAATGATTTGTGTGGCGCATATGTATTCGGAGCCAGTATTTATGTGTCCAAATTAATAGATAAATAAATGGACTATTATTACGAATATTCTTATGAGATAATTATTACGTAACTAGAATATGCATATATTCATATTCCTTTTATTATAAGGTTTTATTCGACCTATAGACTACTATTATACGACTTACTATTCTTAAATTATTCCAAATTTATTAGTTACAGTCTCTCACGATCACAGACACTTTTTGGCTTGATCTTGTATAATCATTATTTTTCGTTTTATGGTGTGATGCGATGTGATTTGCTTGCATATAAATCAAGTATGTCTAGAATATATGATTCATACATCAGAGGTTGGTATCTGTGTTGTGAACTCAACAGGCTGGGCTAGGAGAGAAGTTACCATATAAAGGACCAATAAGTACCCAGAATTGTCTCAAGGTTGCTCGTGCTGGTTAACGCATCACTGGTTTAGTACAGGGACAAGGTCATATAAAAAGGTGTTCTGACTGACGATTTTGTCATAGGACATAACAAGTTTATTAAGAGGGTGGCTGGTAATTTGTGTGAAATGTTTAAGGTTTCGACTTAATGTGAACCTAAAGAGAACAAGCTCAATATGAGACTTAAAGGTCTTAGATTGTATTATTAAGGGTATCATTAATAGTTGCTTATTGCTGATAATTGAAATATCAAGCTTTTCTTTTCAGTTGTCCAACAAATATTAATCTATGACGACTTAATTATTTTAAATTTATATATTTAATAAAATGTCAAATATTGAAGCTTTTATGTTCTTTTGAGCTGTTAAGCATTATTATTCATCATTATCATGTGTATATAAGCTGGGATACAATATGGATGCCTAAACAATGGTGTACGGTTTCTTTTAATAGTTCAAGCTGGAAGTCTAACCTGCAAGACAGTGGAGCGATGTCAGGGAATACAACCCTATATAGTAGTCGTAAACCAGAATTGGTTCTTACTCCAATTGTTATTTAGAGATCCTCCACTTCATGCATGCCATTAGTTTAGAATAAGTGTTTTCCAACTTTCCTACGTGAATCTTTTGTAACGACCTGACAAGTCTGCTACTGAAACATTTACTCCCAACTTCCTACACACTACGTCTACAATAGAGATAAGGAGTGAAATGTCAGTACGAGCTTTATTCTCTAAGGTTAGTTATGTACAGGAAGTCCAGTGTATGTTAAGAGTTTTATATTATGTTAATCTCTTAGGTCTTTCTAGCAACACGTTAAATATATTGGCGATTGAGACAACTGCTTAATCAAATCGTGACACATAGTTCTTCCCTTTCTCTCAGTGTTCCTGGGAAGCTTCTATTCAGTGCTGACTAGACAAAACGCTTTTATGGGTTTCCTAGGATTCTAGAGACTATGACGAAGGATGTGTTTGGAATCTGCAACAGTGAATGTTTGTTGACTGAGGAGTTTGGAACACGTTTTATATATACCAACCATTGCCTACCTCAACAAATAATATTTGCTAACGTGGGTTGGAGGAAAGATAGGGGTAGTCAAATCGAAATGTAATATGAATCCATAAAGTGAGTGACTGCTAGACCAAGCTATGTAATAAATACAGACTATCTGGTTGAGGTCCTTACAATTATCGTAACCAGTGGAGCAAAAGATGCATTAACTGTTTGTCCTGAAATACTTATACTTTCTGTTCCATTAATTTATTTTTTCTACTCGAGTTAGAGCATCAATCACTAAACTATTCTACTAGTAACAAACATACTGTTACTAGTTCTACCACTCTGGCATATGTCTTGGTAGTTTTATCTCGCTGTACTGATACTAGTTGTGCAACTTGAACCGATGTAAATATGTGCTAGATCCTACTGACTTGTGAACTTGATTATTTAAGACGTACCACCTTCAATTACTAGTTCGTAAATTCGAGGCCGACTCACACTTCATTTTGTTTGAACAATGAGATCTCACGAAGAACGAGAAAAACGGTGAAACATAAACAAACTAATAAGGGAAAAGACAAGAAAATACATTTAATAAAATTACCATATCATTTGTGCTAAATGCTGAAATTGATGCTGATACGCCGAAATCAGTTAACTTCACCAACCAACCACGTGATAATGCCAATAAATTAGCCAATGAACGTTGACAAAACGCTGATTGACTACCCGTACTGCATAACCAATTATGATCTGGTAAATCCATGGTACCATTTGGACTTCCAAAACCACTTAAACCACAGCCTGGTGCAGGTGTTAACAATAAATTAGCTGGTTTAATATCGCGATGTATAACACCGTTACGATGAAGAAAATGTAAACCGTCTATTAACTAAAAGAAAATGAAATGCAGAGGGAGAGTGTGTGTGAGGAATAAAAACAACAATGATAGTATGGAAGTATACAACTTAAACATATATAATTGTTCAATAAGCATAAGAAATAAGGTTTCTAGTATATTTTAATTGTGGTTAACAATAGGATCTAGGATGAGCGTATCGTTCTATCTGAAACTCGTCCGTTGGATGTGCCTATGTTCGTGTTGACGTTTCCACTGAGACTCGAACTCACTACCATCATACTCATTGAACAATTTAATGGTTCGCCGGATTCAGTGGTTTAGTGAACAACGTATTGGGTATTAAAAGTGAAAGATACTAGGTTTAAGTTTTATTGTGATTATAAAAACGCTGGGATCCAGGCAAAAACAGATGACGAGCCGCACAATGGACGAAACACCCATCCTGGATTCCACTGTTAGTCATAAACTGAATATACAAAACTTGTGACATGACGCTACATGGGGGTAATCTCAGGATCTACACACTGCAAAATGTATGAATCAACTGTTGACCTGAATATCAACAACGGGAAATTAAAAATCCTTAACAATATATTTCACGAGATTTACGATGTGTTGGTTTATCCCCATCAAAAATATTTCTCTATTTGTGACAATACACTTGATCCATCTCCATTTGAATTGTTCAAAAAATGGATAGAAGGACTCGAAAGTTAGGCTGTTCAATTAGCTGTCTTATTTCACGCATAAATTATACATCGCCTTCATGACACATGATCATTTCACATTTCGGAAAGATAACTATTAGTGAATAATGTGAGGGTGTGTGACGGAATAACCCAAGAGATTTTAAAATAAATTTTTTACTAGCATATATATATATATATATATATATATATGTCAAAATCTGAAGGTCGTTTGCCTTTAGCCCCCCAGCTGGGGGCAGGAACAAGGACAAAGTACAAGATCCGAGTAATAATAAAATTGAAAATTTACATCACGGACGGATCTTGGTTGGTTAACCACTAAAAATTAGAATGGATCGGATGGCTGTATAGTTCTAGTGCGGATCCACAACCCTAATCCAAAAGGGATCAGGTCCAAGATTTGCAAGTGGATGTCTAACGTTTCAAAATAATTGAATCGGCGGCATCCAATGGTTTACATGTTCAGCTTCAACCAATTCGCTATTATCATCATTATTATTATTATTAGTTCGCGGTGTAAATCATGAAATTCAATAATCCCCGAGTACCACCTATAAGGAAAATATAATAATGATTTACCTGTAAAAAGTAGGCATGAGCTTGTGCTTCAGGAAGTCGACGAAACTGTTGTTGTTGTTGTTGAGAGGATGTACATTTCCTTGTTGATTGTTCTATGGATGATGTTTTACGACTTTTTGATTTATCGAATTTTGTATCTGTTTCTTGATTGATCTGTGTAGATCCCATTGATAATCTAGGATGAAATCGACGAGATTTGTTAAACTTTTCAGAAGAATCAACATTTTTTCTTTTATCTTTTGAAATGTCTTCATTTAATACAGCATCTGATGATTGTCCATGTTGATGTTTAAAATATGATAATCGTGGAGAGGATGATTTTGCATTGAATTCATCTAATTCAAATTCATTTTCTGAACTTAAAGCTGTATGAGATGGTACACCGGAAGCTTGTAAATCATGTACTGATCCAAGACAATGTTCCATAACTAAACATAATCTATCTGGATTTTCTAGCCGTAATACAACAACTAATGAAACCACATGTCGACAAGCAGATAATCTTCTCATTAGACTAGCTTCATGTAATGCTTGACTCCAACCACCGGGAATTTTTCGTACACCTAGTTTACTAATAATTTTTACAGCATGACGTCGAAGTGTAAACAGATCAATAGAATCTTTGACCTGAATGAACAAAATAAAATATTATAATTTTTAAAAAAACCAAATAAAATCATAAATATCTTATGTAGTATTCACGAATAAACAGGTATCGAAACATATAAAGTAGAATCTAGGGGGCAACGGTCAAATTCAAAACAGTGACCTAGTTCAATTATTGACTGTTTAGGATTGTACTGATTGAGTTCCGAAGTATTTCAGGTTTTAATACACTTTTTATTGTCATTATTGTTGTGATAATTATTAGTTTATGCAATAAAAAACCAGTCCATTATAACGAAGTCTAATATAACTGACTTACGTCTCGAGGAGATAAATATAATGAATAATGTCTAACCGTCTAAAGTCTCAACATAGTTCAGGCGGTGTCGAGTCTCTAAAACAAATGGGAAGATTGCAACTTGATAGATAGAATCCAGTCAGGACAAAAAAGGACCAGATGAACATAACATTTGTTACTTCTCTCAGTGCAATAAATTGTAAATGACTCAGCTCCATAGGAAGTCAGTACAGGCTGCAATGGTTTAGTGTTAACTTCTCACAATGTGAAGCTAGGTTATACTGATTCTAATCACACAGGGACCATGATTTTCTTTAAAATTAAAGATAATTCTTGATGACAAATTTCACGAAGTAGCATGAAACTTAGGTCCATGGTTCCCTGAAGATCAAGTACAATTGTAGTGAACGAGAACAAAAGTGGGCACAATCAAATGTATTTGAATACAAAATTACAGTAAATACTACATTTGCAAAATGTCAGTCTATTGTTTCAGACTTGATTGTTTTTTCGTTTCCGCACTAATCATCCTCTGTTCTCGTTCTCTTCTTTCCGATCTTAACTTTCTGCCACCAGGCATTTCACTTTCAATTGATTATACATCCTACTTATATCTATCAACATCAGTAGCACACACAACATAAATATTAACAATGTCACTGTACAGTATTATTTGTGAATTTAAGTTAAGGACCAAGAATAGACAGGTTTGAGCAAAACGTCTAGTGTGTGTGGGGGTTGATGATAGTACCAAATTTCTCAAGATGAAGTAAATAAAGTGAAGTTCGAATATGTACAACCCAATGATTGAAAGATGGATATTTTAAATTTCTTAAGTAATAATCTATTTACCTACGAATTGCTTCTGTAAATTACTAGTCTTCAAAATGAGTAGAAGCACTACATGAGATATATCAAACTTGAGTATAGGTATATTCACTTGATATTGTTTTGCTTGAATCTTCCTATTGATCAGTCTCTTACTGGTATATGCGAATCCTATGTGGATTGCCTCGATATTGTCTTAAGTCACAAGCACTATAAGCAGAGATGGATGGTGGCTAGCAGTGCGATCCATATGACTAACGTCATATACGACTTATGTCAATATAAGTAGCACACACCAAATATTGACTAACTGTAAAACCCTTAAATTTTAGCTTTAAACCATGATATTTAACTTGAATTCTAGTTTTGGGATTTTAAATCGCTGATTTACATGAATTTGCTGTTTTTTTATTTAGATGAATGTGTGTCAAGAGTTGTCAAAGTTATTTAAAAACTTGTTCAAGCTCCCTTTTATAGTTTAGCTTGAATAAAATACAATAAACTCTAGGGTGGTATGTTAATCTAGAAGTTGAACAAGACAATGGGGAAAAAATCACCAACACAAATTCCAGTAAGATATAGTATGCGACAAGCAATGGAATTGCGTATGCATGTTCCATTCTACTTGAAACTCGTAAACTGAATACACCTGTCACATCCTAATATTCATGTTGTGCACATCGAGATTTAGACCTAGTACCCAATGCTTTAAACGGCTAACGAGTTGTCCAGTTAAACTACTGAATACCGATAGCCAAAAACTTATTCAACACAGTGTTATTAAATGTTATTATCATAAAATAATATAATAATGGAAGTATTTACAGGTGTACAATACAATGAACGACAGCATTTCAGACATATCGGAGTCATTTTTCTTTTCAACAGAAATGAGAGGGATTTCCTGGAGAAAAAAGTCTCATAATACTTTATTTTGAGATGTTTATTTTTAGAAGGGGTTTTGTGGAGATTTTAGTAATTTTAATAGTTGAAATCATGAGTCAATTGAAGCAAGACCACCATAGAAAACCTGAAAGCACTGGACGACCGCTTCGTCCTAGTATGGGACTCCTCGTGGATTGGTTGAAGTTAAACATTAACACTGTTGGGTGCCGGCTCAGTCGTCTAATGGTAAAGCGCTCGCGCGCGAGACTGATAGGTCCTAGGTTCGAATCTCGCGGGAGGCGGGATAATGACGTGCACTGCTGAGGAGTGCATACTAGGATGAAACGGCTGTCCAATGCTTCCAGGTTTTCCATGGTAGATATTTTTTTGACCAATCTGAAAGATATTTAATTTTACTAATACATTCTGGATCAAAATTACACAGTAAAATGATGATGTTGGTAATTAGCTATTTAAAACGAGTATGTCTCATAAAACTTGATCGATTTAAATTTTCCACCATTAATTGTTTTATAACTCAATGAATTGTGTAATTGATGTTTACAGATATTATCGTTATTTGTAATTCGACAATATTATTTATTTTTGACATTTAATTCACTATACAATGGTATTAATTCATTCACTTAGTCCAGCATCAAATTTTAGACGCCATTATTTTTTGTTTGATCAGTTGAATAACATCAATAAGTTTTCACAACCCAATTGTGTTAGAAAGTCGGCTATAGGTGTGTGTGTGTGTGTTGGAGGTAAGGTATTTTGTAAAAGTATAAGAAATGATTAATTAAGTTTCAAAATGTTACTTCAAAGTTGAATATCAATCGTATACCTTCTGATTCCGACAAAAATGAAATGAAATACAAGGTAAGGAACTGCATGGGAAAATCAAATTTTTGTGATTGTATTGCAAAAAAGAAGGCAAGTGGAATATTAAGACAAATGTAATCATGTTATACTTCAGCGCTAACTACGAAGGCATAAGAAGTCTTGGTAAGAGCTGACTCGATTCTTACTATTTTATTTGTTTGCTTGAACACATAAATATTGATAAAAAAGGGAACCGAATACAAATACACCACACAAATTACTTGATTTGTGTGTGGGCTATAATACTGCTCGAGTGTCCGAACCGAAGCAAGTGGTTTTCTTAGGGGGCCAATCCCCAAACCTTTGACCTAGAAGCCTAATCCACAAGCCAGTGGAGCAACGTAAGGAGACACAGTTCCCTGATAACCGATGACCAATAATGGGTTCACATGCCATTTATTCTATCAGGATACTGGAGCCCATGTTCACCGTTGGTTTGGAGTCAGGGTTTTCCAACTCCCCCAAGGTGGACCCTCCGTGTCCATCAACCCGGTTAAAGCGTCGGACATTCGCTTTTCTCAATTTTGTAAACAACACTCTGCCGCAAGAAGGCAGTGATTAGGATTTCTCTGTCAGTGGCTGTATACGCGTGGTTATGTGAGAGCATTTAGAGAGAGAGAGAGTACTCTCTCCACCTTCGACTGTAACAGGCCATTTGAGTGATATCGAAAGTGACTTGTAGACAACTAATACTTTTTTAAAAAAATAATGAACTGGACCACATAAATACTGATGACTGATGCAGTCATCTTTATTGATGCAAACCAAGTCAAAAACGTGCAATGATATTAATATTGTAGAGAAGTGTTAGCAGAAATGTTGATGAGAGAAACACTGATTATGGGTGGGATGGGTTGAATCGTAACAATTGAAGAAAAAGTCCTTTGAAAAAGAAAGTATGGTATAGGATGAATTATCTAAACAGAATTAGTAAGTGATAAGCTTTTCAGTAAATATGAATGAATTCTTTAATATTTTTACTATCTGTCCTCTGATTGGCTAAAAGTGGTAAAAATATCCTTGAAGGCCATTTAAAAGCCGCTTAAGGTCATAACTACTATACTTTAATTCTGTCACATAATTTCAGCAATTGAAACACTAGGCTAGTTGTTACAATCATTTCAATGGGTGTGAGTAATATTAAAAACAGGAAATTAATCATATATATATATATATATATATATATATATATATATATATATATATATATATATATATGAACTTTTAAGGAACGATTTTGTGGGGGGATATGGACAATGAATATAAGTGGTGATGTAATAAATTTACTAAAAAAGAAAGAAATTACTTCACAGAATTTTGTGTTTTTAAACTAAGTAGTATCCACTGTTTTTTTACACTTCAAAACAAGTTAGTAAATCATACACGCACACACACACACACGTATTTCAGAAATAACGCACATGCATATTATATTCTAAGGCATCATAGTACTTCATTAAAAGATAAATATTATGAACATGCGAATATCGATAATCAATAATTGCCGGAAATTATTTAATGTTTAGAAAATATGTAATAGATAGAAAGGTCTATGCAGAGAGAAAAAGAGAGAAACCACAACGCACTGTCATTTGGAGTCATAAATTATGTAAGTCATAAGACTGAGTACATTTGTAAATAATAATAGTAATAATAATAACGATAGTAATAATAATGTAAAAACGAAAATATGTTAATATATTTTATTGCCTTGACAAAAAGTACATCAGTTTCTTTGAAGTACGAAAAAACAAATAACTGCATACCAATGTTTATTTACACATTATGGTCATTAAACTATATATATGACCTAATTATATTGTAGTAAGTAAATTTATCGCAACTGCTTATTTACTTACGCCAGTTACTCCCAATGGGGCATAGGCCACCAACTACCATTCTCCAACCCACTCTGTTCTCAGCCTTCCTTTCTAGTTCTATCCAACTGTTGTTCATTCTTCTCATATCTGTCTTCGTTTCTTGGTGTAATGTGTTCTTTGGTCTTCCTCTCCTCCTTTGGCTTTGAAGATTCCATGTGAGAGCTTACTTCGTGACCCAGTTGAGTGCTTTCCTCAATATGTATCTTATCCACTTACAGCGCTTCTTCCTGATTTCCTGGTTT